GAGGGAGGTGGGCTGGGGAGCTCAGGGGCAACTGGGAATTCCAGAAGGCAGAGGCGAGGAGGGAGATGGAGCTGCTTGGCTGAGTTGGGGACCTAGGGCCCCTGGCCGGTGGCTGGAAGCCAAGCAGCGCTGAATAGTGTGTTGAAGCCGGCTGTGGCCCTTTGTCTTGCAGGCCCAGTCTGGAGAAGTATGGAGGCCTCCAGGGTGGTGGGGCTGCAGGGAGAGGGTTGGTCCCTTTCCCAGATTCCTGGCGTGGCTTTCAGCAGCCTAGCTTCAGAATGTGAGGATTTGCAAGGTTGTTCCCAGCTGAGCCAGCCCAAGTCATACACGCCTGTCCGTGGGCACCCTGGAACGGTCCCAGGGGACTGAGAATGTGGGACAGGAAGGAAGACTGCTGGAACTACTTGTCATCCTCAGTCGAGTGAAGCTGGGGGAGGGGAACAGTATGGAGTCATCACTTGGATTCATCCTGGGCCTGCTGCGGGGCAGACTTTTAAGGCTGTTTTCAGCCTCAGAAGATCACTAGCCCTTCCTGGGCAGCAGCTTCCTGAGCTCAAGGGTGGGGAGTCTCTGACCTCCCCTGGGCTGGCCTTGAGCACCTTACATGTAAACCCCTGCCTGATGTCTGGGACTGTGTGTCCATCTGTCCCTAGAGGACTCCTGCTGCCCCTCACCACACAGCCTGGCCAGCACTACCCCTGCTGATGCTCAGGAGTATGTCCCCTGAGGGCTAGCCAGCTGCCCTGAGCCAGGAGGAAAATGTGACCTGCCACTCTCCCACCTGCCCCCAGAGGCTTGAGAGTCTTAGGAGTGAGGCCCAGAGCTGAGGGATGGCCTGATGGGGGCAGGGCCAGGGCCTCCCTGTGCCGGGCACTGCTGGCCACATCTTTACAAAGGCCTTTTGTTCCCTGTGCAGGACACACTGAATAATAATTCTCTCGGCAAAAAGCACAGTTGGCAGGATCGGGTGTCTCGATCATCCTCACCCCTCAAGACAGGTGAGCCAGGACTCTTCTCCCCAAGCTGGACTTGGTCTGCCCTGCTTAGTGCCTGGCACTGAGAGCAGACCCTTCGGCTTCCATTTGCCCAGCAGATGTCAGGTGCCCACCAGCATGCAGCACCTGGCACCAACCCTGCTAGGGCTGAGGTCAGCTGCTGTGAGCGAGTTGCCCAGTCCCTACCCAGGGCCAATCCCCCAAAGGCTTTGTTGGCCTCTGCATGGACATATTGGGTGTGAGGGGAGGTCACTGGGTGACTTGCTGGGAGTACCTGCCTCACTCTGATCTGCCTGCTTTCTAGGGGAGCAGACACCACCCCATGAACACATCTGCCTGAGTGATGAGCTGCCACCCCAAGGCAGCCCTGCCCCCACCAAGGACCGTGGCACCTCCACCGACAGCCCTTGCCGCCGCAGCACTGCCACCCAGATGGCACCTCTGGGTGGCCCTCCTGCTGCCACCCCTGGAGGCCTGGGCCACTCCCATCGGGATCGAATCCACTACCAGGCAGATGTGCGCCTGGAGGCCACAGAGGAGATCTACCTGACACCAGTACAGAGGCCCGCCGACCCTGCAGAGCCCTCCTCAGCCTTCCTGCCCCCCACAGAGAGCCGGATGTCAGTCAGCTCTGACCCTGACCCTGCCACCTACCCCTCTGCAGCAGGCCGACCTCATCCCTCCATCAGTGAAGAGGATGAGGGCTTCGACTGCCTGTCGTCCCCGGAGCGGGCTGAGCCACCAGGTGGAGGGTGGCGAGGGAGCCTGGGGGAGCCACCACCGCCCCCACGGGCCTCGCTGAGCTCAGACACCAGCGCCCTGTCCTACGACTCCATCAAGTACACGCTGGTGGTGGACGAGCACGCCCAGCTGGAGCTTGTGAGCCTGCGGCCATGCTTTGGAGACTACAGTGACGAGAGCGACTCGGCCACTGTCTATGACAACTGTGCGTCAGCCTCCTCGCCCTACGAGTCGGCCATCGGGGAGGAGTACGAGGAGGCCCCCAGGCCCCGGCCCCCTGCCTGCCTCTCGGAGGACTCCACGCCCGACGAGCCCGATGTCCACTTCTCCAAGAAGTTCCTGAACGTCTTCATGAGTGGCCGCTCACGCTCCTCCAGTGAGTCTTCTGGGGTGCGGTGGGGGAGCCAGTGGGGTGGGGCACCCTGGGCCCCCCAGCCGGGCCACCGTCTTGCAGCCCTGTCCCCTCCCTGCAGGTGCCGAATCCTTCGGGCTGTTCTCCTGTGTCATCAATGGGGAGGAGCAGGAGCAAACCCACCGGGCCATATTCAGGTGAGGGCCACCCTCCCTGCTGCTGCTGTGGCCACCACTACCACGGGTGCCCACTCGGTCCCCAGGACAGTGTTCACCCCCTGAACTCAGAGCAGGGGGCCTGAGTGCAGCGCTGTTCTGAGGAAACCAAGACCCTGGTGAGCTTCCCTGCACACAAAGGCCACCTGCCCCCACACAGATGCCACACCCTTCCCCGGCTGGGCTTAGTGCCAACGTCCCAGGACCTCAGTTTATCAGATAGGACCTCTGCTCACTGTGGCCGGGGCACTGCCAGACAACAGACGTGTGTCTGACACTCGCCTTCCAGGAGCTGGAACTATGACAGGCACACTTGATGCTTTGTGTGTGCCTATGTGCACACCTGTAATCCCAGCACTCAGGAGGCTGAGGCAGGAGGAGCTCTGTGAGTTCAAGGCCAGCCTAGGTTACAGAGTAAGTTTGAGGCCAGCCTGACACTATTGTCAAACACAAGCTCCAGTGTACATTACTAGTGATGCCCCTGTGGCTCCCCAGAGCGGCCTGGCTGGAGACGTCCTGATGGGAAACTCCTGTATGTCCTCCTTGGAGACAGGTTTGTGCCTCGACATGAAGATGAACTGGAGCTCGAGGTAGATGACCCCCTCCTGGTGGAGCTGCAGGCCGAGGACTATTGGTACGAGGCCTACAACATGCGCACCGGTGCCCGCGGGGTTTTTCCTGCCTACTACGCCATTGAGGTCACCAAGGAGCCTGAGCACATGGCAGGTAGTGTCCTTCCCTTCCTGGGACCACCAGCCCCTGCCTTGGCCCCCATGCCCTGCTGCCAGGTGAACCTATGCCCCAGACCTGGGCCAGGCAGGGAGAGGCTGGCAAGGTGAATGCTGGTTGTTTCCCAAGGAGAGAAATTGGGACCTCTGGGGTTGTAGTGCCCTTGTCAGGCAGTGTCCCGTGCACTCTTTGCCCACTGTACTTGCCTGGGTGCTGGGCCCCCTCAGTCGGCTGTACCCACCCCTCACTTCATGCTTATTTTCCAGCCCTCGCCAAAAACAGTGACTGGGTCGATCAGTTCCGGGTGAAGTTCTTGGGCTCCGTCCAGGTTCCCTATCACAAGGGCAATGATGTCCTCTGTGCCGCTATGCAAAAGGTACGTCTGTGGCCACACTGTCTTGTGGACAAGGAGACGGGTTTGGGGCAGTACAAGCCGTAGGACCCAGGCCTGGGACAGGAGGAGAGACCTGCCTGACGTGTCTGCACCCCTCGCCCACAGATCGCCACCACGCGCCGGCTCACCGTGCACTTTAACCCGCCCTCCAGCTGTATCCTGGAGATCAGTGTGAGAGGTGTGAAGATTGGTGTCAAGGCCGACGACTCCCAAGAGGCCAAGGTGGCTGCCCCACCCACCACTGAACATGCCTGGCTGAGTGGGTGTCCTCGTCCCCTGTGGCTAGTGACCACCCTCTTGCTTCTCTTTTCCCTCCTGTAGGGGAATAAGTGTAGCCACTTTTTCCAGCTAAAAAACATCTCCTTCTGTGGGTACCATCCAAAGAACACCAAGTAAGCAGAGGGACAGAGGGGGCACTGGGTGTGGACTGGGGACCTCTCCAGCTTCTGCCCCACAGCTGCCTGTCCTCTCTCAGGTACTTTGGCTTCATCACCAAGCACCCTGCTGACCACCGGTTTGCCTGCCATGTCTTTGTGTCTGAAGACTCCACCAAAGCCCTGGCAGAATCCGTGGGGTATGTGTGTGTCCCTCCTGGACCCCCCGGGAGCTGCCTGAGGCACAGGCCACCCCTACCCCCGCCCCCCAAACTCTGGAAACTCCCCTGGCACTCCAGCCCCAGAGTGGTGGCCGGGAGCCAGGTGGTCTGTGGAGTGGTCTGTCCCTCTCCTGCCACCTCATTTAGGGATACAGTCCTTCAGGGACAGGGCCCAGCACTCCCAGGGGTCTGGGCCCTGCTCACCCACACCCTGCCTTGCAGGCGTGCGTTTCAGCAGTTCTACAAGCAGTTTGTGGAGTACACTTGTCCCACGGAGGACATCTACCTGGAGTAATGGCCACCCACCCTCCACGGCCCCAGCCATACAGGACAGCAGCTGTGGACAGGACCGGCACTGCTTAGGAGGGACACGGCCCCTGCAGGAGGATGGGAAGTGGGGCCGCTGGCGCAGGGTGGGGGGCAGGGATGCCGGGTGAGCAGCCTGGTCTGTTGTAATACAATTGTAACATACAGATCCTGCTATGGAGGACAGAGCGGGCTGCCCAGGGACAGGTGGGGCAGGGCGGTGGGGAGGGGGAGAGCTGTGGCCCAATGGCCCCATTCTGGGGATGGCTCTGCCCTGGGCCTCACTTCCCCTGCAGGGGCCCTGGCTCCTGCCTTGACAAAGCCCATACCACCTGCAAGTGCCCACGGTCCTGTCCCAGCCCCTCCCAGAGCCCTGAGCTCAGGCTGAGCCCGGCCACCTCCGGGGACTTTCCAGGAAGGAAATGGCAGCGGGCAGAGGTGAAGGGCTGCTCTCTGTTCTCGCACCTCCAGTCCCTGTGCTGGCCCTGGCTGGGAGAGGCGGCCTCTGACTGGCCCAGGCCGGCCCCCACCTTGGTCTTGTCACTCTCCTAGCCACAACTATTAAAGTGCCATTTCCTGTCTGGACCACAGTGCTTGTCTGTGCCTACGCAGCTCCTCCAGCGCCTCCTCTGTCACCTCCAAGAAATCCTGAGCCTCTGCAGACAAAATAGCTTTATGGGGCACTGTGGGTAGTGGCAGCATCCTCATAGTAATACTCAGCCATGTCCAGCCCGTCCCGCTTGTGCTGTTGGGCGAAGGAGGGGAGGGTCCGAGGCCCTTGCCGCCCTGGGTGCCTGAGTCTTGGGTGCCTTGGTCGGATCCCATAGTCTGAGGTGGGAAAAGGGGATGGTTTGGGATGGGACTCAATGGAGGCTGCCCAGGATTGGGCAGGGCTAGCTCTGGGCCCTCTGGGGGCCCCTTCCACTGTAGGGGCAGCCTACCATCCACCAGGTCGGACAGTGGCTGTGACAGTTGCAGGAAGGCTGGAAGTTCCTCAAGAACAGGCCTGCAGGAGAGGTTGGGGTACTCAGCCTGGCCCGACAGGCCAGGGTAGGGCAGTGCCCAGGCCAGGGGCTCGGCACTCCCCAAAGTCTGGAACCCTGGTCAGACCCCTCTCCCACTACGACAGGGCAGCACCTCAGGGGCTGGGGGCGCAGGACCCCAGCTACTAGGATGAGGTACAAGAGGAAGAGGCTGAGCCAGGCCCTGGGGTACAAAGCCCCCAGCACAGCAGGTGCCATCTCCTACACAGGTGCTGTTGGGTTCCGCCCGCCCCGCTCCCCTGCAGCTTGGAACCTGCCGCCGGCCCCTGGGCCACCTCACAAAGGGCATCATTCCAGGCTGATGGAGACAGGACAGTGGGTGCTGTTTCATAGTCCGGTGTCAGTGCCAGGGTGCAGGGCACAGGTCTTGCAGTCACATCTCAGTTCAGGTCCCCACCTTGCCTCTCGCCAGCCTCGCAGGAAAGGGACACATGCACTTGGCCTCAGCAGAAGTGACTGGCGGCCCCCTACCCACCCCTGGCTTCCCCATAGTCTTTCCTGCTGCCCCGCGGGCCCAGGGAGGTCCTGATGGCTATGGTGCCAGTGTGGGCTTCCAAGTGGGGCAGCTCTGAGGACCCGCGTGGGGGCGGTCTTTGGTATGTTACTCCCTGGGGTGTCCATTGACCCCCAGCTGGGGATTTTTGGGGAAGGGTGAAGCTTTGGACCTGTTCCCTACAGTATGACCAAGTGGTTTGCTTCGCTGTGGGGTCCCACTGAGCTACACTCCCAGCCGTTTTGCACTTTTTTCTTTTTTTGCCAGAACAGGGGAGGAATGAACTTAAGCCCTTGCTCTTGCCTGGGAAGCGCTTATTCCACTGAGCCATCTCCCTGGCCCCCTCCCAGCCGTTTTTGAGACAGGGCTGTTAAGTTGCTGTCTCCTCTTGCCTCAGCCTCCTCAGTGGCTGGCATGTGCCTTCACATTCTGACCCATTACTAACTCAATGCAAGCCCTCCACACTTCTGTATCACGTAAGCTGTCAACACCCAACCCCCAAGCTCCTACAGCTTTGCCAGGGGTGGCTCCATACCTGGTCCCAGTGTCCCTCACTTGGGCCTTGCCCCTGCACCCTCTGCCATACACCAACTCCCTCTCTCCTCCCTTTCCTCCTGGAGACAGTGCACCCCACCCCCAACTGCCTCAGTTTCCAGGTTATGGGGGAGCACCCTGAATTCCAAGACCCATTACTCCTCACTTCCTGGGGGGTGCTGTCTGCCCTCACACTGCCTTGCTGGGCCTCTTCTGAGGTTAGGGAACGCCCTTTGGCTGAGGGACACAGCTCCAGGCCTCTCCCCTGCCCCCATCTCCACAGGTGTTGCCATTTCCAACCACGGAGCAGCACCAGGTCCCCTCCCATCCCAGCCTCCCGTGGCCCTGTGCCATCTGCTTCTGCCCCACAACCCACAACCCCCATCCCTGCCTCCCTACAACAGTCCTTCATTCATGTCATGCCACAGTCCTGTGTCACTCTGAACAGCCTCCTCCACCTGTCAAGAATCTGATGCCCGAGGCCAGCTGTGATGACACAGGCCTGTAGTCCCACTGCTCTGGGAGGCTGAGGCAGGAAAATTACAAGCCTGAGCTCAGCCTGGGCAACTCAGTGACATAAGCCCTGCCTCAAAATAAAAAACAGGAGCCAGGGATACAGCTCAGTGGTACAGTACCTGCCTGGCAAGTGTGAGGTCCCGAGTCCAATTTCAGACCCAAAAAACAAATGAATAACAAAACCGGTAGGGGCTGTAACTATTTCCTTGCCTGTAGCCTCCACAAGCCAGGCAGGCACTGGCCTTGGACCCATGTGGCCTATTCCGCCACGGGTGGCACTGGAAGGCCAGAACTGCGCCCTAGTGTGTGGCCTCAGGCCCAGCCCACTATAAGCCAGGGTGTAGGATAGCTTGCTCAAGTAAGCCAAGCGTCACCAAGCTGAGCCAATGTGGGCACAGGTGGCACGTCCCACACATTCAACCTCACCACAGGCTCAGGTGGCTTTCTGGAGATGCTGGGGAGCTGGGCAGGGTAAGGCACCTGAGAGGTGGCAGAGCTTAGAGAGTCGGGGGAGCTGGGTGCAGAACCCCTCCAGCACCTGAGGGGTTCTGGGGCCTGTGACCTGCAGAAGAGGCCATCTTTCCAAGCAGGGGGACAGGGCTGGCTCAGGCCACAGGGCCCAGCCCTCTCCCCTCCATAGCAGCTGGCCTGGCTCTAGGCTTGGCCACCAGAGCTGGTGGGGCGAGTGTGGGAACCCCAGCGCAGACGCCCTGAGCTAGGCTTTCTCTTGGGAGTCTCGGCTCCCACTCCTGACCCTGCGCCAGCCCGGTGTTGGCCACTGGCTGCTAGCAACATCCGTCTGTGGTGGTCAGGGCTTGGGGCTGTCAGAAGCCTCAGCTGCAGGACATGCAGGAGTTGTCAGGTGTGTCCTGTGCGGCTTGGGTCTCCACCGAGAAGCAGCTAGCAGGGCAAATGACAGCCTGTGCTTGGGGGCCCATGTGGCTTCCTGTGGCTCCCAGAATATGGAGCTGCGGAGGCTTCTTGGCTGGCAGGGAGACGCTGGGTGCTGGGCACGGAAAGGCCACAGGCATGGACACTGGCAGTCAGTTTTATTAGGGAAGAGGAGCTCGGAGCACCAAAGGCTGAGGTGGGCCCTGCCCACAGCAGCAGCCCCGTGCCCTGCCCTCCCTGTGCCCCACTCCCGGATGTCTGTCAGCCCCAGTTGTAGAAGTAAATTTTCTGCCAGGCGGGCAAGTAATCCATGAGTGGCCCTGAAACCAAGGGAGGACAAGGCAGGGTCAAGGGACCCCTCAGCTGCGCAGTTGCACCCATCTGTACCACCAGCAGCCAGAGGACCTGCTGCCCAGGGAGGCAACGGAGAGGGCCTTCGTCCACAGCCCCGAGCGCAGACACGGACCCTCAGGGTCAGCAGGGCCACGCTTGTCCTGCCCTTGGGGCTGTCCTCCTCCACCCAGGTGACAGGTTATCCTGCTATTCTAGGGTCCCAGGCAGGAGAAAAGCTGACAGCCTTTTTTTAAGTAGCCAGTGAGGTCGGAGCACCCACTCAGGGGACAGCCTCCTTCTGGCTACTTAACTTCAAATTTTCTCTTTTTACCATGATAAGAGTCAAAGGACAAGGAGCAGGCAGGGAGCTGGCTGCACACAAATCAAGCCCCACAACAAGAAGCCTCGCCCACTCACTTGCCACCAAGGTGCCACCGGGGATGTAGTCTGCCAGCAGCTGTAGCAGGAAGAGGATCTTGGCCCTGCACAGAAGAGAAAGTTGGGGTAGCTGAGTGGGGTGTGGCAGCATACCTCTGTAATCCCAGCACTCCGGAGGCTGAAGCAGGAGGAGCGCTGCAAGCTCCAGGCTAGCCTGGACTACACAGTGAGTTCAAGACTGGCCTGAACCGCAGAGTGAAGCCTTGTCTCAAAAAACCAAACTAGGGGGGCTGGGGAGATAGCTCAGTAGGATAAGTGCTTGCCTGGCAAGTGCAAGGGCCTGAGTTCAATCCCTGGTTCTGCCAAAACAAACAAACTAGGGGCTAGCGAGACAGCCCAGTGGTCTAAAGCACCTGCTTAGGCAAGCTTAGGCACAGGGAACCAAAGTTGGATGCCCAGTACCACCTGCCACGCCAGCCATGCCCTCAAGGGAGCTGAGCTGCCCCCACCAAAAAAAAAAAAAAAAACATAAATTGAAAGACATAAAATACATTTATGAGTTGAGGGAGCATCTTGGTGGTACAGTGTCTGACTAGCATTTATGAGGCCCTGAACATTGGTCCCCAGCACTGCAAAAAGAAATTTTTTTAAATATTTATCACCAGGAACATAGTGCAAGGTCCAGAGTTTGATTCCCAGTGCTGTAAACAATAAAAATTTTTTTTTTTTAAATTCGATGCTTACTATTAATATTTATCCAGGCAGGACTGTATGAATTTAGTCACTTACACTGTGACAACCCTAACGGTCAGGTACTATCATAACCCTCACTTTTTTTTTTTTAATTTATTTGTGTGTGTGTGTGTGTGTGTGTGTGTGTGTGTGTGTGTGTGGCCAGCTCAGTCCACCAGGGGGCGGGGCTGGCTGGCATGTGGTGCTGGGGGATTGAACCGCGGTCCCCTGTGCTTTGCCAAGCTTGTTCCAAGTAGGTGCTTTAGACCACTGAGCCATCTCACCAGCCCACCCTCACTCTATTGATGAGAAACTGGCACAGAGAAGTCAGGTAAGCTGTCTGAGGCCACACGGGTGCAGACCGGGCTGGCTCCAGAGACCACCGTGTGGGCCAGGAGGGGGCCCTTCCTCCCAGCAGCCTGCGCCTGGGCCCTGTCCTCTGAGGGCACAGGAACTTCTCTGTCAGGTTCCAGGATGCTCAGCCTAGGAAAGCTGGAGCCAAAGCCAAGGCCTTGCACCCCAGGAGCCACCCTGCTATCCCAGTGTCTGAGAACCTAAGACACCGGGTAACCTCTCCATCACGTAACATGCAGGCAAGCAAGCGCGCACGCGCACTGGGCAGACCATTCGTGTAAGTCTCCTCCGGACTGCTTTTTCCTGCAGCAGGAAACAGCGTTTTGCTTCAGTCCCCTGCGACCTTTCTTTGCTTTTTCTCTGAAACAGGGTCTCACTGTATAGTTTAGGCTGGCCTTGAACTAGAATTACAGATATGTGCCACCACGTTTGGCTGAACTTTCAATCTTATCTAAAAGTGGCAGAAAAAAAAAAAAAAAAAAGGGGGGGCCTGGCCCTAGCTCAGTCCTTTAAGTGGCTGCTTCCACAAAGCTGTCAGCCTCAGGTTGCTGGAGTTCGAACCTCACAACTCTCCCGCTGGCCAAAAGTGCCCTGAAGGCATTCGAGGAAGAAAAAAATAAATAAATAAAAATAAATAAAAGTGGCAGAACCGCCACGTAGTTAATTTCAGTGAGGTATTGTTAAATATGACGTATGAAAAAAGCAAGCAAGAGAATGGTGGATCTGGGATCCAGCCCTGATGTCTCTGAACCCCAAGTGCCTCTGAGACCTGGGGAAACCAGGACTATTTGGTAAGAAGACAGAAGAGCTAGAGGATGTGGCGAGCCCGCAGCTGACACTGCCACTGCACTTGCTGGCGGTGCCCTGAGCCTGGCTGGCTCCTGTGTCTCCTGCCCCTCTCCAAGTGTTCACAGTCACAGGGGCTGATGGCCCGAGAGCTCCGGGGACAGGCGGGGTGGATCTGGGTAGCCAGAGAAGAAGGAAAAAGCGCAGG